GAAGCAGAGGGTCGGAGTCAGGGTAACAACCGGCGGCACGGGTTAAACCCGCTGACTGCGAGGTTCCTTGATTGGCTCCATCCGCAGACCTACGTGCTCGTCACAACAGTTCATTCCGGGGTCGCAGCACTGCACCCCAGCTTTCTCTATCTATCTATCTATCTCTCTCTACGTCGCCCTCGTCCCGAAATATCGGAATTTCCAAGTGAAACACTCCCTCCCCTTTCCGCGGCTCGCGCGCCGTGAGGGAGTTTAAACTGCTAAATGGTTTCCTAACGCGGAAACGATCGGTGTTGTCGTGTTCATTATCGTGCGCCGAGTCGGGATACGCGGGCGGAGTTTCTGCGGGTGATAATTTATCGTATTCCCCTTGACGCGGCAATTTTTCGGTAACAAAATTCGATTATAAAATATCATAAAAAGACTCGAGATCGCGAGTTTGTTCATGATGTTCGTTTAAAAGCTTACCTTTAAAAATTTGCGCGCACAAACATTTAATACGAATTTTAATATTTTATATAATATCACGTTTTATACGTCGTTCATCTATATGTGTGTGTGTATATGTATAAAAATATATATATTTTTTTTTCTTTTATATCGTAATGATGGCGAACTCTCTGCTTATTTTACAGACAGAAATATCTACGGATTTTATTAACGAATGTACTATTCACGGGGGAATAAACTCTGCGTATTTACTACGTACATAAAGAACACACGTTCTTTCATCTATTCGGCAAAGAACCTGTCGGTTCCCGAGGTGAGGGGAACGTCGGAGATTTTTAGATCCATGGGGCCGTGAGAACACAGTCGTGTGCATTTGTGCGGTGACAGCGTGCTGCTCGAAAAAATACGAATTTGCATATTGCGGAGGAAGTATATTCATCAGAGCGGACACCGGGTGCGGAAGGCTCGGGGAACGATCGGCGTGATCCGCGTATGAGCGATACGAGATTATTCTGGCGAGATTCGCGCGACAATTTACGGCGGCGTAGTTACGCGCGCGCGAGGCGAACGAGGGGACGTTACATCCAATCCTGTTCGAATACACGAGGGAGGCTCTCTCGCAAGGACCGCTTCGCAATCCGTGGAACTTGGTGGCCGCGCCGGGCGAGAACTCGTTCATCCGGACGACGCCCGCGGAACCGGGCGACTACTTTCGCGTTATTGCTCAATGTATAATAATTTGGGGGCAGCCCAGCGACGGACACCGTCCGCCACCCCCGCCCTCCCATCCGCGGGGAACTTAATCCCTCGCGGAGCGCGGCAGGCGCGGAAGGGGATGGCAGAGGAGGGGGGAGGTTAGCCGTTTTACCCGCGGCATCGTTCTGCGGAGGGTCGTCGAGGTGGCGGCGTCCGCGGAGGGGGGAGGGAGGAGGAGGGGTGGCTACAGGCAAAAGGATCTGCATGGCGGCTCCACCGCGTCGCAAATCACTTAAACTGCGGCTGGAGCTACGCGAGGGCGAGCTCGACTCCGGCAGGGGGAGGTGGTTGGATGGCCGAGGATGGAGGAGGCGAAGGGAGGTCGTGGGTGGAAGAGGCAGAGGAGGAGGGTGATTATAAGACCGCTCGGGGTTGCTGGCTAGCGAGGTAGTACCATCCGTTATGACTATAAATCTAAGATAACAATAACGTCCCCCGCGCGCCTCCACGCATCCCCTTCGCTCTTTCTCGCTCGCGCCCTAGTCCGCTGGTCTATCTTTCGCCCCTTTGCACCCGCACGGCCCCCGCGCGACTCTACCCATCCTCGCGCGACCCCTTCGCCTCTCCTCTCTCTCGTTTGTCCGGCGGGCATTAATGCCCGCCTGCGCCGAGCCGCTCACCGGCCATTCGACGCACGTGTCCTGGCTGCTCGCTCGTGCAGTAGCACACACGCGTCATCGTATCGACATTAACGCCACGGCGTGTTCACCGTTACGTCGGCCAACGTGGCGACAGAGACGAGGGATGAGGAGGAGGGTTCGGGCCTGATCAGGAGAGCTCCGAGGACTCGAGACCGTCGAGGTGAGCGTGGACTTCCGACTGGTTGAGTGACTCGCGATGAGTGACGCGTCGCGGTTTTAACTCAATCGTCACACGATCCCCGACTGTGTGAATGATTTCGTACATGCTGACATTTGTCAGATTGTGTCCACGGAGCCGTGCATGGTAACCTACATGATTTCGTTGAATCTGAAAGCTTCATTTTTCCGTACACGCTTCTATACACGCGCCAATCAGCAATCAATTTTCATGTCAGAGCCGATAATATGCTTCGAAATCATCTGCGAGTGTAAATGTCACAAACATCGTGTCATAACCAATGTATCAATTCGCACAAGTTGACATTGAAATAATAATATGGACCAAGGAGTGAGTTATCGTGTTAATTGCAGCTAAAAAAAGAAAACTATATAAAGCATCATAATTATGATATTTTATAAATGTTAGCATGCACGAAATCATTCAATCGAAGATCGTGTGCTTCAGAAACAATTCCCTCGTGTCTGCATGCATAGGACTACGAATTTATAGGGTTTCCTTCTGATGATATTCGGCTGGATACGAGGGGGAGAAGCGAGAGCGAATAGTACGAGAAATCTGGAAATCTGAAATTCGACACGGTGCACCTCCGTCGGACGACACTCCGTGTACATAAGCCGTGTACGAATCATATTGCAACAACAAGAAGAAATATAATGCAAAATATCAGCAGACGGGCTTTTAAGCCGCTCGGTGCTCCTCGACAAATATCAATGATACAGCGTGTCACAGGCTTGTTTAATAAACCATGAATGTTACGAAACAGCGTGACAACAACAGTATGTTCTCTGAATGACATAAATATTAATAATAATAATAATAATAATATGGATGTTGTATCAACTCAAAGGGATATCAATGTGTTTGGATCGACGTCAAAACGGAGGCGGAAATAATGAGGACGCGTTTAATTTTACGTGGTTTATTATTAAGGTCCGCGCCGTTATCGTCTGCTTATAACCGCGCAGTCCGCGCGCGAATATCGGGCCGATTTCACGGGGCGCACTCAATTCGCGACTGTTAGGAGACTAATCTTCGTCGTATTAGGAGAGAACTGTGTATCGCGTACGCGCGTACGTATCGGGCCGCATTAAATTCGTTTCAACTGATGTACGCGCACAGTGCGCCCGGCCATTTGCGCAACGCACCTGCAAATTTATTGATATTAGAGGCAATGAGCGCTACAGCTGGTGCTGACCGAGCCGAGCGCAAGCCAAAGCATTATTTCGATAAACGCTGGGAAGAAGCGCGGGCCATATTGTATCAGTGACGCAATAAATAAAAGATAATGTAAGCTCCGTAACGCGGGCTCAAATATAAGCGGTATATAAACGATAAACGGCTGGCGCAGTTGCGTTTGAAGCTATTTATCGGGGGAGGGTTACTTATTTCGCACTTGTCGAAACACACGGAAATCGCGCGCGTCGAGCGCGCGAATTGTACATTTTTGCAGAAACTAGACCCCACACGACCCTAAATCTTCCTCGAGCCGAAATTTCGCACGCTCTCGAAACACGATCGCGGCCCACGCACACGATGTTTGTTCATCGGCAATCAATGCGACTTAACCTAAATATTGCATATGTAACATGACCCTTTTTCAGCGTTTACTTTGTACACTTGCCAATTCGCGTAGGTGTCCTACAACATCCGGCTTTCTGTCCAGTTGTCCACCGTGGAGACTCGCCGCTGCCACACGTCAGTTCTTCTTCAGTCACTTTCCTATACTCGCGATCGTTTTAACGATGCTTAACGGTTTCACTATTTGCTTTATACACTTGCCAATTCGCGTAGGTGTACCACAACGTCCGGCCTTGTCTAGTTGTCCGCCGAGGAGACTCGCCGCTGCTACACGTCAGTCCTTTTTCAATCACTTTCCTACACTCGCGACTGTGATCGTTTTAACGACGCTTGACGGTTTCACGGCTTGAAAGCACACGATAGATTTGAAGTACTTTGAGACTTTATTCACGAGTCGCGAATCACATGGAAAAAAATCGCCACCTGAAAATCACGACGCTTCCGACAAGCACGAGAAAAAATAAAGATATCCCGTTGCGTTTGCGAAAAAATGAAATTCTTATTTCGCAAATGATATTCTTATTTTTGTTATTCTATCTTTGAATAGTAATTTGATTTCGATTGAAATAACAATATAATCCGTTGCGTGTAAAAAATTTAAGAAACTAGCCACCGCGGTCATAGAATTTAGCACGAGTAAAGAAACGAAACGCGAATTCCTAGTACCGCATTTCTTATGCACAATTCTGCTGGTGTGCATTTCTGACGCGCAATTCTGGTTGCGCGCGTTTTTGTGCGCAAATTCTAGTCGTGCACGTTTATGTAAATTCTGATACACGAATTTTCAATTGACACTACAAACAAATACATGAAAATCCCCACACTGAGAAAAAAGTGACATTTCGTGACACTGTAATCGTATAATAAAATATTTAAATAAAACTTATTTTTTTGGTACGTGCTTTACCACTGTAGTTTTTTAACAATACAAAAAAATAGCTAACGCCGGAAATAATTTTAAGTTGTAAGAAAATTAACCATTTTTTTCTCTCAGTACATGCAAAAGATCTATGAGTAAATCACATTGATTTCTTGTAAATATTACGTTGCACGTAATCGATATCGATTGGTATCGATCGTTATACATCGTTATATAATATATCGTCTCGCATCTGGAATACGATGATCGAACGCGCAATATTTGTAATCTGCAGTTGAGATCATAATAAAAGTTTGTATGTTCGATGCATCCCGCGAGTTGATAATCACCCATAATGTTGGGTGTTCTTTCATTCAATGAAAAGTTTCACACCATCGCGTTTTCCAAAGGAAAACGTAAGTAGAGTTATTTCAGAATTCATTTGCTGCTCTTTCAGTGCGTATTTGCGCACACACATTTATAATTGACATAAATCAATTATTGAAATCACCTAAAGTCTTTATTTCTGACTCACCGACTACTTGGAGATCAGGATCAGCCATGTTTCGCAATAACTCTGGAACAAAAAATAAAGCATCGTCGACTAGACACAAGTGTAAATATTTCAACGAGAGACAATACGCGTGTATACAATGGTATTGGTCTTTTATGACGGTCACGATTCAACGATCGTTACTTCCACAACTATCTTAATTTTCGATCGTGAAGAATCAAGAAAGAGTATGAGGAGTTAGTAAACCCACTTTCGAGCCAATCCTGCTTGGCCCGATCCTCTGGTGCAGCACGCACATCCACTTGCACCTTCCAAGAACAGCACTCACCGTGTAGCCACAAGATCTGTAACCGTCAGATCTGAAACAAATAAGCGAGTTTTCTCATCAGTAATATCGATATACGTATCAAGCATACAGAGGCTCAAGACAAAGTAATGTTTTCTTAAATCAACATACGTGTTTTTCTTTCAAACCGGAATAAAATATAATAATTACCCTCACGACTCGATGCTGCTAACGTTTCAAACAATTCTAGCACGATTGCACGTTCAATATAACGCAACATGCCTCACGCACACTTTGATCAACTCGGAAAAATCGGGAATCACGCGCGAGCTCTCCCGATCCGTCTACCTTCGCGACAAAGACTGTTATGTTCGCGCTCGACATTGTCTATACATATATACACTGTTCCCAGGGACATGTGAGCTCTCTCTAACGAGATGCGCTCGAGAGCACTGTCACGTTTTGTTTACCATCAAAATCAAAACAAAGTTCCTATTATCATTATTTACTTTTTCTTTCACATAATATTTTCTATATATTGAAAACGTGAAACTTTGTATTCTAAATTCAAACCAAGGTTTTCATAGAATCAGGTTTTTTTAAGGGGTTATACCTACCTTCAAACTTTCAAAAAATCGATTTTTGGATTTTTTCATATTTTTAAATTATAGAGTCTCAAGAATGGCGGATTAAAATTTTATGTTGAAAACAGATTAAAACTGACGAAGTTATACGAGTAAAGATTACGATGTATGGAGCAGTTAGGAGCAAGTATCGCATAACTTGATACGTTGAGTGAGGTCCAATTGCACACAGCCCGATTGAACACGGAATGTAATGATTGGCTAGATCTACTTGAGTTTAGTAATTTACTAGATAAAACAAAGCACAAACACACACACACACACACACACACACACACCGGTTGGTGGTGTGCAATCAGGTCCAGTTTACGACGTAAATTTTTCAGAAAAATGTCAGTATTTTCCGTCGGTAAAATTTTCAGCTCTAGCATCCCCTTAACATAATCAATTTAAACGCAAACACGAAAACCGATGTTCGAATTTTTCGTAATTACACGATTACTATTTGATTTTTATTCCGTGGAGGACGATTTCGTGTCCATCGGAAGTACAGTGATTTTTCCTTTCCAATGGTTTTTGTTCCAGGTTGCTACGATGTTATTGACGTTTGTATCGATCCGCTGCTTAGCCTCAAGACCGTCAACTTCTTAAGATCTCTCCCTAATTTCTGCAAAGTTGTTATCGAAACTAATTATATCATTGTAATAATAATAATATGTGTTAATAGTATAGATAGAAACATAATGTTAAACAGGGATTAAATAGAGATAACACGCGCGTAATTATTCATAAGAATTATTCATAAGAACTTTTCAGAAATTAGAGTGATTCCCTCGGAAAGGATCGTATAAAGTTTACGATTTTGACAAGTAACAAGACCTACCCAAAAGTTACACTCCGATTTCTTTCTAATTTGGCACAGAAGTACAAAAAATATTTAGATCATATTTTTTTATTTTGGCCCACTTTGAGTTTTACGGTCAGTTTATAGTTTTTTAATGTTCTCACTCCTATCATCAACAAGTGCAACAAAAATGCATAAGATATAAATTGAATACAAGATATCATAAAATTGAATACAAGATTAAATAATTTTAACAAAATCGGCATAGCTAAGACACAAACTATTCTAAATTTCTTTAATCGAGATTTCAACCGAAATATTTTAAATCTGTGCTAAATTAGTCAAAAATAGTTATAATCTCGGCCAAACCGAGAGAGAAAGAGAGAGAGATTCGGCAATTTTAATTAAAATTTTAACAAAATCGGCACAGCTGAGACACCAACCATTCTAAATTTCTTTAGCCGAAATTCCAACCGAAATATTTCAAATCTGTACTAAATTAGTCAAAAATAGTTCGAATATCAGTCAAACCGAGAAATTGTTTGTATAAATAATTTTTTTTCAACTTTTTACATGTTTTGTTTAAACATTTTATTATTTATTCAAATAATTTTACACATTTGACTATATATTCAGCAAACCAAAAACGTCTTCAATAAAATTCAAAAGCGATACTTCGCGCGTACGTGACGGCTCGCAGACGAGCTTGTCGCGTTGTGAAGACCTGTTAAATATTATTTTAATTTTATTTCTCCTTTTGGACTAAGAGAAATGTATTTATTCGAAACAAAATGTCCTCTTATTAGAAAAAATTTCTATTGAGAATCAAAAACAAGACTCCGGTACATGAAAATTTCTTCAACTTGAAGAATATTGTGCTCACATTTTCCTTTTGTGATTTCAGAAGAAAGCCTCTTGAGATCATATATACGATTCCGCTGGGAATAAGATTATACCTTTCCAGGTGGATGCGCTTTACGATTCGAACAATACATTTTAGTTTATCGCGCGTAAGCGAACACCTCACGCGTGCGCCAATATCGGAGCTGGAAAGATTAACGACGTGTCTCCGTCGAATTGACGCGAAACTACGAGCTATCGAGTCGCCTATCCGCGGATTCAGTTTCGCGTGTTTCTTGCACGCCGATATGCGCGCCGTGCGCAATCCCTTCGCCAAGAAGAGAAGCGCGCAGGAGCGATATTTCGCCGGCTGAGTTCACGCACTCCGCGATAACGCCACTGATTTAACGTTTACGTCGACAACGCTTTTAATTGGGCTTATTGCCGTAAACAGCGTGCGCGTTAATAGAAAGTACCACGGCGCGGCATTACTATTCGGTACATTAAGTCGCCAAATGAAATTCACAATCGATGACCGCGCTCGGCGAAAGAGTAATAATGCATCGCGATAAATATGTATACGAGTTTATCGTAATAATGAGTTCACTGATTCCTGGCACAGGGGGAGAGGAATACAGAGGTAGGCGGGATTGGCCGTGCAGGACGGCACGGCAACGGTGGCGGTGGCGGCGGCGGCGGCGGCGGCGGCGGCGGCGACGGCGGTGGCGGCGGCGGCAGCGGCGGTGGCGGTGGTGGATGGCGGCCGACGGCAGGCGGCGGGTGCCGAGGGGGATGGTGGTCGAAGTTGGGTTATTTTATTGGGAATTTTGGCGAGTCGTCGCTCGAATTTGCGAATCGCGGCTGTTCGATAGCTTTCAAAGGTAAATTAATATCGCGCCATGAACACGTGCCCATCCGATGCACTGATGAGCTTAATGAGAACGGAAGTAAAGAGCCGTGGATAAATGTTACTTTGATCAAGCACTAATTGCGCTTGCGGGCTAAACTCTAATTGTCCGTGAGCTCAAAAGGCAGCGGGCGGAGGATATTTCGACGAATTGATTTTGACAGAAATAATTTCGGCCGATGCTCTCGCGCGCCGGCCGGCCGCCGCCGTTTGTGCGCCGTTTGAGAGACACAGGGGTTAATCCGTGGGGATGAGAGGCGGGCAGGGTAGGTCGGGCGGACAGAACACAGTGGGTGCAACGTGTCCGTCCAGCAATAAGGAAAATGTAGGAATGAAGAGCCGTTTGGCTACATCTGCTGCTGCGTCGTCCATCACGTCCGCGCTCTCTACCGGGGCCCAGCTAATACACGTATAATTACTCCTTTCTAAGATTTATTTTAATTAGCCCCTATATCTTCTCTAACGACCAGCGCTCTGATTTAGCACAAACTGTTTCATCCCTACCTAACGGCGCGGCGTAACGTCTCTAGCGGCAAGCGCGAGACCCTTTTACGACTCCAATCCCCCCTTTAGTCCGCTAAACCGACGCGATCTTGTTGTGTGTATCGAGCAATATATATTAAAAACTGGGACGAAAGAGAGAGAGAGAGAGAGAGAGAGAGAGAGAGACACGCGCTCGGGCAAGGTCGAGATAAGGCCCAAGTGTCGCCGCGATGGAACGATAGCGGAGCGGAACGGAAACGCTCGTGTATCACGACACGATCGCTGAAGAGCCGACTCTTTTCCTTAATTACCTTTCCCGCTCCTCTTCTCTCCCTCTTTCCCCCGCGCAACGTTCTATCATATTACATCATTGCAATAATTATTATTTATGCGCACGTTTTTAAGCAATTATCGAAATTCATTACGTACTGGATAGATTGATATCGACAGTCCCCCGGTGTCGATCTAATAACTTAATTTCCGCTTTTGCTGGCAAATGTCGAAAAATGGTCGAATTTTTTCAATAAAAAGTTCCAGCGGAACGATTGCGCTCGTTTGATGACGTTTTTGTAATATTGCATTTCCATAAAAAGTTATCGAAAGCGTTACGCGGACGAGTTGTGTAAATTTGTTTCCGAGTTAAACGCTTTATCGTCACTTTGGCGCACACGCATCTCTAATAATAATGACAATCGCAAAAATGAGCCAGTTAACAGTCGTTAACCGCGCGGAACACGGTGGATTAATAGGGTCGGTTATTCCGCGACGGTGTGCGATGCGGCGCGCGATTAAGTCGCGCGGGGCGCGCGATCGGTGCTCCTAAGGGTCGCACTAAATCAGCCTCTGACGTCCCGGCCCGGTCTTAGCTCGGTTTTCGCCGGTAATATTGTTATCATTAGTGATTAGGAGCGGCCGTCGGCGGCGAGGGTGCGAGTTAACCAAGAAGACGGAGAAGCGCGCGGGCCCGGGTGTGGGTGAGGAGAGGAGGCTCTCTTCGTTAGCCGTGCTCGTTGGGTGGCGCGGCCCGCTCGCTCCATTAACCCGTTCATAGGCGATCCAGCGTCGTGGCGTCGTCTCACACCCCCGTAAGCCGCCAGTAAATCACCTCCGGCGCCCGCCGCGCCACCCTCCGCGTCCCCGACGACTCGGCTCCGCCGCCTCAGAAACCGTGGCGGCGGGCGCAAACCCGAAACTCAAGCCAAACATACGAACAACCAACGTCGAGTCGCGAGCGCGCGCGGGGGTGTAAGATCGCCTGCGAATCCGTAATCGCCGTAAACCTGAGGACTTAGGCGGTCGGGATCGCGGATTCGCTATCTGCACGCACATACACACACGGTCTCGCGTTCTGAGGCGCGAGTGCAGATGCGTGTGCGTGTGTATGTATGAGTATGAGAGAGAGAGAGAGAGAGAGAGAGCTCCTCGCGCGTATAAACCGAGAACATACGAGAGTGGAACGTGGAGGTGGGAAAGAGAGGGAGACTGAGAGATAGAAGCCGAACGAGGGAAGGACATCGGCGGCGGTCGCCTCTAGCCTAAATCTATATTTCCACCACCCATATTCCGTATCTGTTCATCTGGTGCCGGCGACCTAACCGTGGCAGAAGCGTTTCGCGCCACCTTACCCCTCTCGTCCCGTTCCGTTTCGTCCCGTCCCGTAGCACCGCGCGAAAGAGCGAGGAAGAGGTAGAGAGAGA